GCCAGAGCTCGGAGCTGGGGGACCCTGAGCAGCTCCGTGATGGGGAGAAGCCCCACAAGTGCTCCGAGTGTGGGAAGGGATTCAGGTGCAGCTCTAATCTGACGATACACCAGAGGATCCACACTGGGGAGAAGCCCTACGAGTGTTCTGAGTGTGGGAAGAGGTTTCAGACCAGCTCCTGTCTCTTCCAGCACTATCTGGTTCACACAGAGGAGAGGCCCTTCTGCTGCCCCGTCTGTGGGAAGGGATTCAAGCAGAACTCCACCCTCATCACCCACCGGCGCATCCACACCGGGGAGAGACCCTACAAGTGTGCGGAGTGTGGGAAGAGCTTCAGATGCAGCTCCAACCTGATCCATCACCAGAGGATCCACACAGGGGAGAGGCCCTATGAGTGTGGGGAGTGTGGGAAGAGCTTTACCCATAGCTCCAGCCTGATCAAGCACCAGAGGATCCACACGGGGGAGAGGCCCTACGAGTGTTCTGAGTGTGGGAAGAGGTTTCAGACCAGCTCCCATCTCCTCAGGCACTATCAGAGTCACACAGAGGAGAGCCCCTTTTGCTGCCCCGACTGTGGGAAGGGATTCAGGCAGAATTCAGACCTCGTCAAGCACCAGAGGATCCACACTGGGGAGAGGCCCTACGAATGTTCTGAGTGTGGGAAGAGCTTCAGATGCAGCTCCAGCCTGATCCAGCACCAGAGGATCCACACAGGGGAGAGGCCCTATGAGTGTGGAGAGTGTGGGAAGAACTTCAGCCACAGCTCCAGCCTGACCCAGCACCAGAGGACGCACACTGGGGAGAGGCCCTACGAGTGTTCTGAGTGTGGGAAGCGGTTTCAGACCAGAGCCAATCTCTTCCAGCATTATCCAGTTCACAGAGAGGAGAGGCCCTTCTGCTGCCCTGACTGTGGGAAGGGATTCAGGAAGAACTCCACCCTCATCAAGCATCGCCGCATCCACGCAGGGGAGCGGCCCTACGAATGTGGGGAGTGTGGGAAGAGCTTCAGCCGAAGCTCCCACCTGATCCAGCACCAGAGGATTCACACAGGGGAGAGGCCCTATGAGTGTTCTGAGTGTGGGAAGAGGTTTAAGACCAGAGCCAATCTCCTCCAGCACTATCTGGTTCACAGAAAGGAGAGGCCCTTCTGCTGCCCCGACTGTGGGAAGGGATTCAGGGACAACTCCACCCTCATCTCCCACCAGCGCATGCACACAGGGGAGAGGCCCTACGAGTGTCCCCAGTGTGGGAAGAGCTTCAGCTGCAGCTCCAGCCTGATCAGGCATCAGAGGATCCACACCAGGGAGAGACCTGTTGTGGTTTGACACGGAAAGAGAATTTTTTCTGGAAGGAGGAGGTCAATTTAGATATTGAGCAATTGAAGGTGGACACGCCTCTGAGAACACAGAGGGATTAAAAGCAGAATTCCCAGGGGAACTCACTCTCTTTGGTCTGGTCAGCGCGCAGTGTGGGCTCTCCCCTGCCCAGCGTGGAGCTGGGTGTGGGAAGGGAAGGTCCATGGCCTGAGGAAGGTAATCCTAAAGGTGGTGGAAGGACTGGAACCGGGCTGGCCCCTGCAGATGGAAGGGTGGGAGAAATCTGGGATGTCTCCATTTCTCCCCCCAGAGTTTCTCTCCTTAGAAAGAGAGAGAAAGAGGCGGCGGCAGTTTCGTCAGCAATTCCACCGCGAGGAAGGAGGAGCGGGGGGAGATGCAAGGTGCTCAGTTGTGTGGGAGTTGCTGGATGTCTGGGCATCGGGCCATCCGGGGCGTTCGGACTTTTAACCCTTCCTTGAGAAATGAAAACGTTGTGAATTTTCCTTTCCCCTCCTCGGTTTGAAAGAGAGGAAGAGGGACCCCTTGGACCCTGGGATGTTAGAAGGAAGAATTCTAGATGGGAGGGGGACAAGAAGTGGCTTTTGGGTGGACTTTTCCGTGTTAGCCACAACCTGAACCAATCTTCTCCTCCAAGAGAGACTGTGTTTTGGGAGGATGCCAGTGAGTCAAGAGAGCTGCTTCAGCTGGGAAAAAAGACAGAAGTGGAGTGAACGGAGAAAAGGTTAGGGGGTTTGTGGTGGCGCCCCTGTCCTGGAAAGGAAAGAGAAGAGAAGAAGATCTCTGTTCTTGGACCCTCGGCCCCAGGGGAAATGCGAAAATGGGGGGCACTGTGGTCCCAAACAGTGAAAAACTGAACTGTTGTTTT